ACCGGTTCACCGACGCCATCCTTTACGTGGCTACTCGACGGTGAACCGCTGAATCAGATGGCGACTGGACACAGGTAGATCGCATCTATGTTCTAATGTATTGGCGTTATATTGGCGCTGCTTTCTCTAATCAGGAACTATACGCGCAGATTCGCGATAGGCCAATATGTGGATCAATCCGGTGACGTAATCAGCCACTTAAACATTTCATCGGCGGGAGCCGAGGATGGCGGCCTGTACGCTTGTGAGGCGTCCAACACTCTGGCAACTGTCGTGCACAAAGCTAGATTGAACATTTACGGTACGGCCCGCAGATGATAATGTCATATTAAATACATATAAATGCAATTTTGCGCACTTATTGGAATATAAAACAATTGTTGAATACGAAAACATTCTCTCGAATAAATTTAATTATATACATCCATTAAATATATACATCTATATTATATCTATATTTCCATAATATCGATATCGAAATCTTTTATTTAAATCAAGTGCTCTAAGCATAGATTTATTAAAATTATATTAAATTATATTAAAATTATATTAATTATATGGAGGGCAAATGTGTATAATATAGAAACTTTTAACCGGGACAAAGAAAAGTGTCTTGAGTGAGTGCGAGAATTGATCCAGCTTCCAGTAGAAGCGAGTTCAAGATTAGTCATTCTATAATAAGAAACCACTTTTAGGACCACCGTACATCCGATCGATCGGCCCGGTTCGCGCCATCGCCGGTGTCGACATTACAATAGCGTGTCCTTACTCAGGATATCCGATCACATCGGTCGGATGGACCCGAGGTGGTGCCGAATTGCCCTTTGACATCAGGCAGCGGGTCGACAGCGAGGGCCATCTCACGATCCTCACGGTAGATCCGAATGATGCCGGTACTTACACGTGTATAGTTCGAGCAAGTTCCGGGGAGACCGCCAACAGAGATATACTACTAACTGTTAATAGTAAGTGAGAAACAAAAGAGTAGTCAGTGTGACAGAGCGAGAGAATTAATTAAACAGATGCTCGATTCTACGTTCTGAGCTCATCTCGCAGAGATGTATTGTCTATTTAATAGCAATATAATTTTCTTGTAGAAATATCGTAGCGCTTCTTACTTTGAAAGCACAGATCAGTAGTACAGAAAAATGTAAAGTTGTGGAAAAGATTGCGATATGTATTATGACGATACATATTGTCTACGTTCTGTAGAGACCACAATTCCTTTCTTTCGCGCGATCGTTGGCGGGACCATTCTTCAATGTAAAAGCTGAATAGAAACAGAACGGGAAAACAGTTATCGATTGGCGTGGGAGGCAATAGCCCAGACAATATTTTTTCTATTACATGTAATTTTTATTATACAAGCCCAACAAGAGAGCGAGAATCGCGTAAATGAATCATCTATATACGCACACATGAATGCAGACAAACTTACGCTTATCTCAAATCGCATATATATTTATTTATTTTTATTGTTTTCGAAAAAAATTACTCGTAAGATATTTGTATAATAAATTCATGATGACAATTTTTATTCTTTAAATAAGGAGAAATTTTTCTCTTGTTTCTATCTCAGTTTCCTCTTTACCGTACAAGATTCATTTCCAAAAAGTAAAGATTAATCTTTATCTGAAATATATATAAAGGACCGATGAGCGCATTGTTTCACAGAGTGTCTTAGCGTCCTTTCGAAATGTCGATCTACATCTAAAGACTTGTATGGTGCGTTCGATTCGCAACACGCGTTTCGAAGCATTAATATGTATGATAGAGTATGATAGAGTATCTCATAGCATTCTCCCGTGTTCCACTCAACTCTGCCGTATTTCCCAAAGCAAATAGGAATCTCGGGGATTTGGACGTAATGGCATAATATAGCAACATGTAACTCTTTCGTTTGTACATACCTCGCAGGTCCTCCAGTAATGAGTCCCTTCAACTTCCCCGCGAATTCGCAAGAAGGTAGTCGTGCTCAAGTGACTTGTAGCGTAACGTCGGGCGATCTTCCAATCTACATTTCCTGGCTGAAGGATGGCGAGCCACTGCCTTCTTCCCTTCGTGTAAGCATTATCCCATTTCGCAAAGTTCATCACTACGAAGAGAATATTCGATAATTTCTCTCTACACTCTCCAACTCCTCTCTCCACTCTTTAATTTCTATGGCAATAAAAGATAAAAAAGTAAGATAAACTGCAATTTCATTTAAAATTATGCACATATTTTATCTAACTAATTTCATAATCTTTTTGTATGTTTTCTTCGAAAAGATTTCTTCCCTCGAAGACAAAAATACGCATTTCCTAAACTTCTATGAAAGACCTTTCAATCTTTGTGAATATTCCTCAAACATAAAAATTCAAGGAGATCAAATTTTAAAAGTAGCATATGGGAAACTGAAACTTTACTTACAATATACAAAGGATATTATTAAGGATATTATTTTTCATTTCCCGTCTGATTCAGAAATCATATCTGTTTTACATTCTGTCTAAGAATAATAAAAATGGCACGATACTTTTACATATCGCATATAAATCATATTTTTTTAAATTATCTTTTTACAAATAGATCGAAGAACGTGTTGCCGAGTTCTTCAGCATCCTCGTCTTCAAGGAGCTGTCGTCGCGGCACAGCGGCAAATACACCTGCGTGGCCACAAATAGCGCCGCGAAGGTCAACCATACGGCCGAACTCTTGGTAAAAGTACCGCCTCAATGGATATTCGAACCACAAGATGTGGCGACCCTCTTGGGCAACCCGTTGAACGTCCTTTGCGAAGCCAAAGGTTTTCCACCGCCACATATCAGGTGGCTACGTGCCAGAGGCAGAACGTCCAACGATTATCAGCCGCTAGTCGATGGTTCCGATGGTAGACTCACGATATTGCCTAATGGATCTTTGTGGACAGCTTCCGCCGGTCCACAGGATGAGGGTTACTATCTCTGTCGGGCTAACAATGGAATTGGATCTGGACTAAGCAAAGTGATATATGTTTCCGTGCATGGTAAGAAATATGATTAATGTTATAAATCGTAGACCAATTAACGATGAAGATCCAATATAAAATGTAAAAGTCGCGATTTCAACGCGAAAAAATCCAATAAATGTACAAAACATGAATCAGCCATTGAAACTGTATGAATTTATATTTTTTTATAAATATTTAAAAATATAAATAGTATAATTGTTTGATAATAAAAAATTCTTTTCTTTTCTAATTAAAACCTTCAAGGTCGGTTAAATATGTTATTTTGTTACGTAATAAAACCTCGCGTTTTAAATAATATTTAAAAATTATTATTTTGCTGAAGAAGCGACGTAAAAAAATTTATATCTTTGCAGAACCAGCGAGATTCGAATTTCAGAGTAAAAACGTAACGATTCGCCGTGGAGAATCTGTGACCATTGAGTGCAATGTGATCGGTGATAATCCAATAGAGGTTCAATGGATGCACAACAGCGATCGACTGGATATGAGCAATCATAGACTAAGCATCGGTCAAATAAAGACTGATAACGGCCTCAAGTCCCAATTATCTATAGCAAATAGCGACAGGCAAGATTCCGGGGTCTACAGATGCACCGCTGGTAATGCTTACGGAAGAAGCGAGCATCTAATTTATTTAGCAGTCCAAGGTAAAGTCAACACATTAAACTTTCTAATTTTAATAAATTTTTATAAATTATCAATTCGGCGTTAATTTTTATAAATTCTTGCCGAAGCGTGCGATAAAAGCGATTCGCTTTAAATCTTGTTTATTTCTTATTTTATCTTTAGAGAGGCCGGATCCTCCAGCTGGACTTGAAGTAATAGAAATCGGTTCCCGATCGATACGGTTATTATGGAAGCGAGCCTTCGACGGAAACAGCCCTATAAGAAATTACGTAATACAATACCGCTCGCTGAGCCACGGTATGACCGATGATTGGAATCCCGTTAAAACGCACAATGTCACGTACACGCCAGGAAGTTCCAATAGCGGTAATTCTATACATCCAACCCAAAACGGTACGTCCACATATTCCAATCGATACCACGACTCTCATCCCGTTCATAACGCGTATTAATTGTAGGCTTATCTCCGTTCGATACCACCGGAGACGACCAAGAGGTAGCTCTGGTCGGTGGTCTTCATCCAGCTGTTACCTATACCTTCAGGATATTCGCTATAAATTCTATTGATGCGAGTGGACCCACAGAACCTGTCGTGGCGAAGACTCAGGAGGAAGGTAAATGCCTCGTGTAACAATGCGATCGTATGACTGAAGCCTTACTGTATTGCATTGACATTGTTCTCTGTAATAGCACCTACCGAACCGCCGCAAAACATCAAAGTGCAATCCGCTGGGCCTGGAGAGCTAATGGTCAGTTGGCAAGTAAGTAATGTCGATTCAGAAACGTGGAGTGAATGTTTGTGAACGTATTAATATCTTTCAAATAAATCATGTAACAATAAAGTCGAAAATTGTCGAAAGACATTTCAAAAATATGGCATATTGTAAATGAAATATAATCTTTTTTAAATATTTTTTTAGCCACCTCCAAAAGAATCATGTAATGGAGACCTATTAGGATATATAGTAACGTGGTCGGAACATTCGTCGTCGACTTCGGGTGTCAACCAAAGTAAAAGTTTAACTGTAAATGGTTGGGCGACGACAAAGGTGCAACTAACTGGTTTGAGAAAATTTACGAAATACGACATTTCGATCAGAGCTTTCAACAGCATAGCCAGTGGACCAGCTAGTGTTCCCACCGTGGGTACTACGCAGGAAGGAGGTATAGTAAGAACAATAAATCACACGTGTATACGAATGAAACAATAGCAACATATTTAAACAGGATATATTTAAACCTCTGTTCATATTCGCTTCATAGTACCGGAAACGCCACCGACTCAAGTGACATGCGTTCCATTGTCTTCCCAAAGCGTCAAAGTATCTTGGATTGCGCCTCCGCCTCATCAGCACGGTGGAATTATTCAAGGATACAAAGTCTATTACAGGCCGGTCCCTACTGACAATAGTGAGTCACTTGCAACATTGACAAACACAGAAATAGATGAAAGAGATTAATCTATTGTAAAATATCATCGTACTTATAAGAAATTGTAAGTTGTTAAATTAATTTTTTTTATCATAGTGGATATATCGACGGTTGGCGAAGTAAAAAGAACTTCCAGTACGGACACTTACTTGCATACGTTGTACAAGTACACAAATTACTCCATCAAGGTGTTGGCTTACACAGGCGCGGGTGACGGAGCGCTAAGCCCACCGATCTTTTGTATGACGGAAGAGGATGGTGAGATATTTAATTCAATTTTATCAACAAGAACCATTTATAATTTTTAAATTAGAGAATAATCTGGTACATTTTATTCGCAGTTCCAGGCCCGCCTGCTGGCATTAAAGCATTGGCATTAACGGCGGAAAGTATATTGGTTTCCTGGTTGCCACCGTTGCAACCCAATGGAAATGTCTCAAAATATACTGTATACAGCAGAGAAGCTGGTTCTAAAAATCATAATGCGCATACGATGCACGAACCGCCATCGCCCACGGATACTCTTACGATGGAATTACGAGATTTAGTGGAAAGGTACTACGCGCGGATACTACAGTATCATGCTGTAATGATGATTGTAATCTTCTCATAATGCTCTTTTTGCAAACCAATTGTTCATTTTATATAGGCAATTATATGAGTTTTGGGTTTCGGCAACGACCGGCCTTGGAGAAGGGGAACGAACTACCATAGTTACGCAAACAACGAATACCAGAGGTGCTTATGGATTTGAAAATTTGAATGCGAACTTTTTGAATATAGATTTCTAATTTATTTACTGCATATTTTCCACTTTGTTGATTTAAACTTCTTTATAAGAGCATATAACTTCTTTGTAAGAGCATAAAACTCGATCGTTTTGTAGCTCCCGCTAGAGTGGCGTCGTTTTCGCAAGTATTACGAAGAGCTGTAAAATCATCGGTCACGCTGTCATGTTTAGTAGTCGGAAATCCTACACCACGACCTATTTGGACGTATAGAAATAGTCAAATCACCACCGGCAGACATTACGAACTTACGCCCGATGGACATCTTAATATACGTGGTAAATTATTTTTTAAATTCCTCATTACTTGCAGAAGTTGTTATATTTAAATCTTGGCATGCAAAATCCATATAAATTATTACTTTATTATGATAAAGTTTAAGTTATTATTTTTTAGGATTGGAGCAATCGGTCGCGGGGAATTACACTTGTTCGGCCAGCAACTTATTCGGTGACGATTCCATTACGTATTCATTAGTCGTAGTGATGCCACCCAGGGCACCGTCGTTTGAATTGCAGTATACGACAACCAACAGTATCAGATTCCGTTGGAATCATCCTGAAAATGGTGGCGCTACTATACAAGGTACAAGTAAGCAATTTGTATATATATCAGAGAAAAATAATCAATATGCATATACTCATCATATCGACATCAATTATTACATTATGTATATATCACATATATAACTTTTTAATTTAAAATATTTTTTTTAAACAGGATATGTGTTAAGTTACAAGAGAGATCAGGGCGGATGGGAAGAAATTGCCTTATCTCCTGAGCAGACGGAATTCGTACTCTCTGGATTAAAATGTGGTTCTTCCTATTTAGCGCATTTAACGGCACATAATCGCGTCGACACTGGCGATCCAAGTCCGTTGATCAGCGCAACAACGAAGGGCACTGGTAAATAAAATATTCTGCGTGCAATTAAAATAAGTTATAAGACTGATCTAAAAGTCCCTTAGTTCAAGCTTCTCTTAACAAGATTAATAATAAATCATTTTTGGCGAAACATAACTTATATGAACATTAATATATAAGTCTCTCAATCGACATTTCAGCACCCCTATTGCCTAAAGAGAGAGATATTATTTCGGCAAATGGCACGTCGGTGAAAATAAACTTGTTATCCTGGCCTAATGGAGGATGCCCTATTCAATATTACACCGTCGAATATCGCAGGCGAATCAGTACGGAACCATGGATTTTGGTAGCCAGTAGAGCGACGGATAACGTTGTAATTCGCGATTTAAAAACGGCATCGTGGTACAGTCTACGTTTAACGGCTCACAACGACGCCGGCTCGACTCAGACTCAAATGGAGTTTGCCACGACCACATTAAGCGGAGTCAGTATCGGTCCACCCAACGATCTGATAATGGAGGATGATATCAAGAAGACAGTGCCTAATCACAAAGTTTTGTATGTCATCGTACCACTTATCTGCGCAATCGTTTTGGTCATCTCAGCGGTTATTTTGGGATATGTCATGCTTAAACGTAGCGGCAGGTAAAATATAATATTTGAAACTTTATTTTATTTCGTTTATTTATTTACTTCAGCGCGAATCTCATTAATTGCTTTTCTAATGTTGTTTTTCGACAGAGCGAATTATCTAGGCGAGATATTGCCAGGACAACAGCAGCAACAGCAGACTGGATTAGGAATAGTTCAACAACAACAGCACCAACAACAGCATCATCATTTGTCTAGTTGTATGTCGACGGTGCAGCTCAAGTCGACGGCTGAACGAGACAACAGACGTAATCATCAAGTCTATACTAGCTCACCCGTGAAGCAAGAAAATCACAAATCCGCCGATCACGGATCTGGTATGCGTATTCGTATGACAATGAATTATTCGTGTCACATAAATGCAGCTTCATAAACGACCTGTTATCCATTGCAGAAATGTACGAGATAAGTCCGTACGCCACGTTTAGCGTGCCCGGACGAGAAAACCGTTCAGTGACAACTGCGACGCTCGACTACACGATGCAGTTCAAGACGTTTGGTCATTTGGAAAACGAGGACATCAACACTATCGATTACGAGAGATCCAGCGTGGAGTTCGAAAGGTAACTGGCTTCTTCCTCCCGGCTGTTCTTAATTTCCGATCCTTTGATAAATTAGTCCGTTTCGCGTTTGCACCTTCGTTTTCCTTCTCTTCTCTTCCTCTTTCTGGTGTTCTTTCACGCGCAGGTCGAAAACGCCAAGGTGGCATAAGCAACGCTACTTTCCGAGCATCGCGGAAGCCGAGAGCAAGCTGCGATCAAGTCGGCAAGGATCCGGAAGCGACACGTCCGGAAGTCCTTGCGGCGAATGCGCCGGGCCTAGTTATAGAGTACCTGTAAAGCCTTGTAGAGGTACAGTTATATATTTTTATTCTCACAATATTATAGATTAATAAGAAAAAAAAAAAAAAAATTATGCGGAAAATAATTTGACGAAAAAACCGACTGTATACAAATTGTGTTATATATAATTTTTTGCAGATGTATTTTCGCGAGGTGTCGAATCAAGTACGGAATCTAACAACGAAGGCTCGCCCTCACTCGCGAGACGACGAAGCCGACAACCGAGCCGGTCTACTCGCAGGTAGCCAAGGTTTGTTTGTTTCCACATAGCACTCAGTCTTGACTATTCAATATTGACCTCTCAGTGATTTCACATCGACATGAGAAAGAAGCGCAATTCATTCATTGCAACTAGAAATTAATTTTACGACACGAAAACACTTATGTATCTTATGATTATAAAATATTTATTTTATTTTACTAGAAGAAACATGTATTCCAAAGATGTATATATTGATAATATATTGATAATATATTTAAAATATATAATATATGATATATTGAGTTTTCATTGCGCTTCATTCTAGAGCCTCATATTTTATACGATAAGAAGTATACCAAGCATTTAATATACAGAGTGCTTCTTATGTCGAGGTCAATCACTCGAGAGATGAATGGAGGGACCAAAAACAAGGAAGAAAATTGATGTGAATATGGATATAGGTCCAAAAATGTATTGTTTCCGAGTTATCACTATTTTAAAATTTGAAAGTAAAGTAATTTGAAATTTTAACAATAAAAATGGTAACAACTTGAAAACAATGCATTTCCGGACCTATATTAATATCAATTTTTTTTTCTTGTTTTTAGATTCCCAATCACCTCCCAAATGATTGACCTCCATTTTTGAAATACTCTATATAATGTTCTAACACTATTACATATAAGTAAATAACCACATCTCCTGCTATCTAGAAGACCTCCGAATTTCACTTTCACATATATAATCGATAAAAAGATTATCCTCACACGTAATAAACATATGCGTATTGCGTGTGTGTGTGTGTGTGTGTGTGTGTGTGTGTGTGTGGTGTTGTGTAT